AAATTCGCAATGAACTAACGATAGAGGATTGTAAACTTCTCTTTCAATAACGAAAACAAACATTTTATCACCTTTGTCATTAACATGATAAGACCATTAAACTTTTGTCACATGATATCACAATGCAAATTTGTCGTTATATAAAACACAACCATGTAAGGAAGGAATTGAAATTCATTATCGCCTCTTTGGTAAGAACGAATGTACCGATTGTCGATCCTCATGTCATTCCCGCATAAATAAAAAATGAAAATTCACATTGTACTCAGTGAAAAAGTCAAGAATCCGAGACTCACGAACCCTGTCAGGTGACCTTGCTACCATATCAATAAAATTGTAATTGCAATCGACCATAACCTGCAGTACTATATTGAAGTAGTCCTTCATGATTACATCCTTGCCAGTTGGTTATTTAATGACCATGTGAGTGGATTTGACCGCGCTTATGCAAAAAAAGGCAAAAATTATCAAAGGATCATAATAGGTCTTTTTCAGGCCTACTGTTTTTTTCATATGAAAAATGTTATTGCCTCGTAGTCATGATGTGCGCAACGATGAGTGTTATTATCATTGTGTGCACACACTGCTCCATCCTGCGGCGTCTGATTTCGAACTTATCTGCAATGATATATATGCCTTAACATAGGTGAAATGGTAAATAACGACTGTTAAAACCTTTGTTTGCAAAATGACCTTATAATTTATTGCTTTCGGATGAGGTGAATGATGCAATCGATAATTTTTGTTAATATATTGCAGGTCATGAAAAAATATTTGGCAAATGTCTCCTTTGCTAAAACGTTTGTGGCATAAAGTAAATCAATAAGTATGTCTTCACACCCACAATGAGCTCACAAATGTCAACTACTCGCCTTCATAGTAATGGGCACCATGCAACCAGTATGGCTAACCTCGTTCCGACCACTTATTGTGGGATACGACCACTGTGGGGAAAGCCACCACCATGGCTATGAAAGAATGTTGCCTCTACTACCGATTCATGCATGAAAGTGTGTCCGGGAGTGAAAGTCCTTGGTTGGGGTTTTAACGACTTGCCGCCGAATAGTTTCGTTACAGCCCCAACCATAACAATTCCAAACGAGCAATGCAATCAAGCCAAAATATATTGCTCTTATAATGTCAACCCTCGTGTGGTCAACAACTGGACCAAAGACAATTCCAATATCGTTAACATGTCTTTAAACGGGGCATGCATTTAAACGCTATTACTAAAGTGAATTTCTCGAATATATGTTCATAACCTGGTTGAATGGGGCACCAACCTTTCGATATTATGGCTATTCTATACATCCACAAATTTTTCAGTTTTATCATTGTCATTTTTCTTCCTGACATTGAGGCTCGATCGCTAAACTGAGGGTCTTGCCACATCGCTCAGTAAGACAAAAAAAAGTTTGAGAGTTCTCTTGAACTTGTGAAACTGCAAGACCCATTTTGCAAGTGTTCCTCACTACAATTGTGTGTTGAATAAGGTACTATCACACATGCTTTCAGACTTTGTCATTGTCAGTTTATGTGTTGTGGTCATAATTTTTCGTACCAGAAGTCTTGTTGGCCTCGACTAGCTTTAAAAATTTTGGTTGAAGTCTGCGACTCTTCAAAGGTCTCTTGGATGAGGCCATTTGCAGGCAGGTGCTCCAAAGAAGTCTGAGAACCATATGGTTCTACGAGGTAGGCACCCTCGAATGCGGATTGGGCGGGTCGTGATATGCAGTCTGTCATTACCTACATCAGTACCCTTCAACCCCTCCTCTTGACAACTCTTTTTTTTTTTTTCTTTTTCTTTTCTGACCTTAAATTTGAACATGTGTGTGGCGATGCCACCACTCTAAAAAACATTTGTTTTATATATATATATATTATATATATATATGAAGTTGATTTCAAGTGGTGTGGCAAACCTCTGAATCAAAACTGGGTTACCCTCATCCAGTCTCATGAGCATTTGTCTGCCTGCCTGACCGAGGTGCAATCTATGGGCTGTATACATTTTTTTGCTTTGTCTATTCTCTATCCACAATGGGTATGGGTTCCTTTTCTCTTTCTTTCTTCTTTTGGATAAAAGTCATGAGGGGGACCATCTACTGGAGGTGATATGGGCATCCTCCAGAACAGGGAATCTCTCTGCCATACTGCTCCGGTCTATCGGTGAGGAGCACCACATGCTGGAAAATAGCTCATGGTCCCATTACAATTCGCAGCCCTAAGGCTGCGGTATAGTGGGTTTCAGCGTCTGTGTCAAGGTGTCACATTTTCAGCGACGGGCGACCAGGACGCAAAGTGGGTTCTTAGGGGGCAAAAAAATTTGGGGGACCAGTCCTTGGCAAAATTGCGGACTACCTACAACTAGTTCTGGTTGAACCGGGACTTTTGGAAAAAGAAAGGACCGGTCCTCGGGTGGAAGCGGACCCCAAAAATAAGTGAGGGGCGTTGGACTGGTTCTCGGGTGAAAGCGGACCAAAAAAAAAAGTGAGGGTATGTAAACTGCAGAAGGGCCCTCAGGCCCAGGCATTGAGGCCGTCTTTTCAAAACAGGGAGGTCAGGCGCAACGAAACAAACGTTTTGCAAGAGGCCACTTTGGCGATTTTCTGTGGTAAGAGGAACCCGCAGAAAAATCTAAAATTTTGAGAATCCATAAATGAGGTCGTGTTATTTTGAGGAAAAGTATTATAACATTTTCAAAAAATCATGTAGACTGCGAAATGATCGTTGTGTCGATTCGGCACATTTTCCATTTTTGCCACTCAGCCATATGTGGGCCAACTAAAAAAGTACTCCAAATTCAGTGAGTTTTCGGGCTCAGAAGCATGCGTGAAAAAACCTGAAAATTTGAGTACTCGTAGATTTTATTGTGATATTTCCAATAAAAACGTGAAAAATAAAAATAAAAATCATTCAAACCGTGCAATAGATCGCAACCGAAATTAGACCCATATTTCAATTTTGCCATTCAGCCTCTCTCTCTCTCTTTGTCTCTCTTTCTCTCTCTCTCTCTGGTAGCCCCCCCCCTCCCTTTCTTTCTATCTTTCTTTCTTTCTCTCTCACTCTCTGTCTCTCTCTCACACCCGTAACAATAAATGGAACAAAACTCTCTCTCTCTCTCTCTCTCTCTCTCTCTCTCTCTCTCTCTCTCTCTCTCTCTCTTTTGTGCGCGCTCTTGGTTTTATTGCTTTGGCTAACTTAGGGCTGCGTTTCCCATGCCCACGCGGTAGACAATACATGTATGTGGAATACAAGATGTTATGGACTCTATAAGAGTACCCTTACACCCAGGCCCCTGAACCTACATTGATGTGGCTACGACTTTATATTAAACCACCAGTACTTGACCCAGCTATCGATGCCAAGCTGACCGACCCCCTGCGCACCAAGTTTTGCCGAACCGCCAGGATGCCGTTTCGAATTTGTTTTGGCTGGCTCTTCCAGCCATTGTGGTCCGGTACCCCGCAGCCCTGCAGGCGCGGTGCGTTAACGGGGCCGGGGCGCCGTTTCGCTAGACATCCATCCAGACCGAAAGGCCCTCGCATGCCACCCATTTTGTTTGGATGGATGGGCTGTGAAACGGCACCCCGGTACTCCCGAGAGTAGTGGCCGCATGCATGCCGCCACTGTGAAAAAATGGCTGGGAAAGACCAGGAACTCTTCATCCCTCAGGACCCCTGAATATTCCCAGTGAATGTGTCCACCTGACACCATGTGCGACTCTCTCCACTCCTCAGTGTCTCCAGTCATGACCTCCCTGTCCAGCTCCAACTCCAGCAGGCAGGCACGCAATCATTGACCTGCAAGAGCTATATATCCTTGGGAGCTGAGGAATGAAGTCGGAGGAGTGGGGGATCCGTATTACTACATCGGCAAGGGGGATGCGGGCGGCAGGGGAGTGGGGGAGGGGAACCGCGAGGAGAGGGGGTTGATCGCACGAGGATGGGGGGCCGAGGTGAACAGGGCTACCGGTAGCAGGTGGAAGGCTGCTATCATCCGAGATTCGGGTAGCGGGGCTTCATCCAGGGGTGGCTGGGGCTTCCAGACAACAGATTGGAGAACACGCAGGCTGCTTTCGGCCTACGGTAGCTCAGCTGGTACACGCATGAGCTGTCGAAATTCAGACCTGAGTTCGAATTCCGGTGAAATCAGATCGAGTGTACAAAAAAAACAGAGTGCACAGCGGCCTAGACACCTGAATGACATCGTCGCTCTTTGAGCAATAATTAATGGGCACAATGTCACGTTTCCCACAAGATCCGCCATCGCTGTGAACTTGATGCAGACAGCGCCACTCGGGCCCTAAGACGGAGCTGAGATATTGAAGTGAGCGGGTGCGTTAGGGTCGGTGCTGCCGGTAGGGAGGCGTGTAGTGGCATGAACAGCATATATATATATATCACAAATATATATATCTATATATCTATTGAAGGGTATATATATATTGAAGGGTACTAAGCTATATTCTTCTCTCAATCAATTCATTTCACTTCGCTTCTCTATTTCTCCCCTCTCTTCCTCTCTCTACCGTATGTACACTACGAGGCACTAACTTGCGCTTCGTGGCGGGGCAATCTTGAAAACAAGACCGCGATAAGTGTCAATGCCGTCTTTCTCACGGTTTAGGATTCTATCTATCTGTGACTTTGGCGGGGTCTGGGAATGAGCCAAGTGTTTATTTTTTTATGTTTATTTTCTTGTTTTCTTTTTTCCTCTTAGGAAGGACCTCCCCTTCCCCCCCCCCCTACCCGCGGTGGTTAACGAGCCCATGTCCACGTCATCCGTCGGCCGCGGGTGCGCGCTGTTCCGCCGAGTGAGGCCCGGTCTGCAAGGAGGCAGAGCACGGGCAAAGAAAGCAAATGCAGGTGCCGCAGTCACGCAGGAAAGCGCACTAGAGAAGGATGGGTTTTGGGGTTGCAGGGGTTTGACGCGCATGCGCGCGCGCTCTCCACCGCACTGAAGCGGAGGAGTGTACGGATGACCGGCAATCGGGGAGCGTGAGATGGCACCGAGAGGAAGAGAGAAGAAAAGTGGGGGAGGGTAGGCATTACGGTAGGAGGAGGAGGAGGAGGAGGAGGAGGAGGGAGTGTGAAGATGCTTTGAGGGCACAGTCTTTGGATCATCGTCAAATCACGCACGGAGACCCTTCTCATCTTCTTCGTTACGGCCCTTCTCCGATCCTTCCTTTTCGTCATTATCGTCATCAGCAGAGGTACCGACCTCTACTGACCGGTACGCAGGACGCAGTTGCGGAGCAGGCGACCGGCGAACCGACCGGTAGTACCATCATGCCCTCAACTTCAGGAGCACAGCGGTACATCTATAGGCTGTTCGGTGGCGCGGTTAATCTGCCCATGGCTGCGCTGCGCACAGAGCGGTTGACTGGGCACCTGCGACGGGTAGGCTGGATCGCGCTCGTGATGTGTATTATGATGTACGCATATTTAGACTACGGCAGCGACGAACGAAGTCGGGGGGAAGGAGGTGAGAGAGCGGATGATGGTTATGGTGCGGGCTCGACTGCGGGCGGTTCTATCGTGAGGCCAGCGGCGCGATCTGGGTCGTTGATGATAAAGTATACGGTCCTGATCAACACTTTCAGGAGGAACGAGCTCTTGAAGCAGACGGTGGCTCATTACGCGGAGTGTGGCTCTGTAGATAGCATCCGAGTGGTGTGGAGCGAGCCGGAAGAACCAAGCGACGACTTGATGAGGGAATTGGAGAGGTTAACGAGGGAGAGAGGAGGGGTAGATGGGGCCACCGACAAGAGCCACGTGGCACTGCGAATTGACAGGCATAAGGAAGATAGCATGAACAACCGGTTCATCCCGCTGCCTGGAGTGAAGACAGAGGCCATCTTCTCGGTAGACGATGATGTCTTGGTGCCTTGTACGGCCATGGATCTGGCTTTCGAGGCTTGGGCGGCGGCCCCGAGGTCTATGGTCGGATTCGTGCCTAGGTCTCATCGCCGGATCGATGGGAGTAGCAAGGGTTCACGGTCTGGTTCCAATTCCGATGCTGGTCCGAAGTCCAGACCAGGAAAAGCAACCGGAGGAGGCGGAGGAACAGGCGAGTACGTTTACACCGGTTGGTGGTCTGTTTGGTGGACCGGCTCGTACAGCATAGTGCTGACGAAAGCAGCCTTCCTCCATCACGATTATTTCGGGATGTACACGAAGGATCTGCCGGCGGCGCTGCGAGGTTATATACATGAAGGACGCAATTGTGAGGATATTGCGATGTCTTTCCTGGCGGCCAATGCCACAAAAGCGCCGCCGCTGTGGGTGCAAACCACCATAAAGGAGATCGGTTCTTTCGGGATCAGCTCGGCGGCTGGGCACGATGCCGCACGCTCCCAATGTGTGACCAGATTCGCACACTTCTTCGGTGGAATGCCTCTCGTGGAAGGCCATCTCAAGGTCGTTGATGCGCGCGACAGCTGGTTGTGGTAAATCTCTTTTTCTCTCTCTCACTGTCTCTCGCGCGCGCGCGCGCGGAAAATGTACCTTTATGCCTAAGAATCGATCTGAGTGGGGGAAACTCCGGGCGTTCGTTCGCTCGGGGGAAAGGTTCGCGTTGGTGCGCAGCTGGCCGCGTGCTCTGTCGCTCGCACTCTCCGCCCCCCCGACCACCTGACACCGCACGCAGTGGGGAGGGGATGCGTGTGCACTCTCTCTCGCTAACAGAATAGCAAGGACGGGAGGAGAGAGAGGGAGGGAGGGAGAAGGGAGGTCGGGCGGGTAGGCTTACGGCAATTACGCCCGCGACGCTTATTCGTGCCGTAAGTGGTGGTACCTGCAGAGGCAAGGACGACGAGAGATGGATGGATGGATGGGAGGTAAAACAGTCAGTCTTAAGATCGGAAGAAAAAGGAGATGACACGTGGCATATGCGCAGCACGTGTTCGAAGCATGAAGAGAAATTTACAGTAATTACTGTGTTGGCACAATCGCAATGGGAGCGCTAGGATCGCTGTGCAAGACGTGCGCTGCAAGCCCTCGTTGCCTCGGCATCGTGTCTGAGTCCGTCATCGACATTCAGTGGCTGGGCTTTGTCCTTTCTTATCAGCGGACGGCTTTCACACTCTGGTGATCGGTAGCGTTTGGCCTCTTGTCCTGAATGAGTTGGGCGACGTACCGGTGAGAATCTCATTGCGCAGCGAATTCGAGAATGACGATGAGACGAAAATAGGCGACACGCACATCGACGTATGTAGACATGCCGTGAAGATCGGATAGGGTAGATTTACATGTACGGCAGGCACGAGGATTGATCGAGGCGATGATTGTGATTTTCGGTGTGAAAAAGATCTGGCTATGGAGATACACACATAGTAATGTGTGTGTGTCTAAATACAGTGTATGGTCAGTCGAAAATGATAGCGATTAGGGGAGGAATCGTAAGGACAGTTGTTCGAATGTTAGTGGTGATTAGAACTGAATTGATGAGCACTGGTTGTGCAAGAATTGATGAGAGTCTGCGCAGGGGACGGAGAAGTACTCTAAATCCAATCGCGCGTCGGAGAAAGGGGCGAAGAAGGAAGGAAGGAATTTCAATCAATACAGCGATTGGAACATATATGCGTAATCGGGAAGTGGCTGGGAGGAGAAGGACTCGCATACGGTGGCGAAAATCAGCATGATCTGTCCGTTTCTGTTGTGGCAGATCAGGTGGGAAAAAGTGTTTTGTAACTTTTCTTTGGTGTCGATTTTCTTTGAACGGAATTGGTGTTCGGAATAGACGTGGGATTTAGCGTGGGTGCGACGTGCGCAAACATTCTCTGTGTGTGTGTGTGTGTGTGTGTGTGTGTGTGAGAGAGAGAGAGAGAGAGAGAGAGAGAGAGAGAGAGAGAGAGAGAGAGAGAGAGAGAATGGAAGAATGCAATCACAGTGAAAAGGAGCAAGGGGGGAAGAGAGAAGCATTTTGGATGGTTGATCTGTGCGTTGATTTCTCGAGTCGGCTACGGGAAGAAAATCCCGCCATTTCTCGCAGGACGGCTGGAATTTACTGATGGCCTACGGGGGTGAAAATCCCGCCATTTCTCGCGGGACAGCTGGAATTTACTGATGATCACGGAAATAAATAAAGGAAGTTACTACGGCCTTTTTTGGCGGGATGGCGGGAATTTCAGGATGATCATGGAAATCAAAATAAAGGAAGCTACTGCGGCCTTTTTCGCGGGATGGCGGGAATTTCATGATGAGCACGGAAAACAAGGAAGGAAGGTAGTGGCCAATGGACGTCGACTTCGACGGCGAGGGGGAGGGCGAGCGGTTTGTGTTTTGAGGTATGGACAGACGACAAGGGCTTGGGCTTTTTTCTGTGTCTCTCAATGTGAAAAAAGGAGGAAATTGAATTTCTCTGTGGGGATTGCCAGAATTGGAAGCCATTTAATCTTCTGAATCGTATTATGTAATCTTCTGAATCGTATTTATTTAATCTTCTGAATCGTATTTCTCTCCGTCGAGGTTAGTTCACCGTATGTGGATGGGAATGGGCAGAAATCGAATTGGAACAAGTGTGTGCGATCATCACTAACGGTCACCGTTAGCGACCGACAAATATGTGACCATCACTAACGGTCGCCCTCATACGCCCTGCTCCATTATCGGACTCATGGATTTGGAGTGGGTGTGATCAACGCGGGTATTCTTTGTTATGTGCCTAATTTTTTGTCAGTGTTTTCTTTGCAGATTCTTTCTTTCTTTTTTTCCTTCTTTGAGATGTCATCATTGAACTGACCGGCCCTAAGTCATTCAGAATTGCAGTATTTTTCACTCATCTGCTTCCACTGGAATTCCAGTGGAGTTCGAACTCAGGTCTGTATTTCACTCATCTGCTTCCACTGGAATTCCAGTGGAGTTCGAACTCAGGTCTGTATTTCACTCATCTGCTTCCACTGGAATTCCAGTCCAGTGGAGTTCGACCTCAGATCTGTATTTCAAGGGTTTAGGGGTGTACCCACTTAGCTAGGCTACCTACCGTCTTCACCCGAATAGAACGCCCGGTCATTATAGCTGTATTTGGTACCGGGCGTTCTATTCGGGTGAAGACGGTAGTTGGTAAGATTCTTTTTCCAAAAGAGGTAAATGCAGGCATTGCTGGTCACCTGGGCGGTAAAATACCCGGCGAGCAAGAAGGCGTGGTGCTCTCCCGTTACTCCGTTAACAGCCAGCGGCAACTGAGAGCCTGACATCATTATTAAATTTTAATGATGCAATACTTTTAACTCAGAGCCTGGTCCACTGAGCCAAAAGAATGGAGATCTCTGATCTACTGGTAGCAGGAGGAGATAAATATGCATTCTTTCACGACCATCACTTCTTTTGTCATGAAGAAGTTTTGGTTTCATTCTTTGATTTTTTTTTTTAAAGAAAAGATTAGTCGTCCTTCGGGACATCCGTTAAAAGTGGAACGATACAGAGAAGATTAGCATGGCCCCTGCGCAAGGATGACACGCATAAATCGAGAAATGGTCCACAAAAAAAGAAAAAGAAAAAAAAAGATTAGTACTCAATTTATGTTGTCGAGTTCTTGTAGTTAGTCTTAATCAAGTTCTTACAGCAAGGAGCTCAGAAAGCAACGAGGGGCAGAGCAGTGGTTCATCCTTCCGGATAAGAAGAAATCAATACCGCTGTCTCATTCTCTCCCGGTGATAACGTGAAGAAGCGTGGGTGAGTCTCAAGCTTGTAGGGGACACTGGACTCAGGTCCCAGCTGCTATTTAAAAAAAAAAAAAAAAAAAAAACCTCTCTCCTCGACTGGGAAAGATTGCACTTTAAACCGCCAGCCAGTACACATAAGCCTGGCGTACTCGCACTGTGCGCCACTTTTTGCAGAGTCGCCATCCCTATTTGAACCTTTTTTTTTCTTTCCTCTTCTATCACGGATTGAGAAAACCTCAAACATTTTTCCTTCTATCGAGGTCTGAGAAAACCTCTCTTCCCAACTGGGAAAGATTTCACTAACCACCAACACACCCTAGCCTGGCCGACTCCCACTGCGTGCCAACTTTTGCAGAGCCAACGGCAGTGCAGTGCAGTGCAGTGCGCGCTCTGTACTTTTTTGGCTGGTGCTGCTGGCCATTGCAGTCCGGGGGCAAGGTCCCACTTGCACGGATTAAGAGATTCTGGCCGTTGATCTTTTGCGATCTACGGTCAATATCGCTAAATTCGTGTAAGTGGGACCTAGCCCCGGTAGCCCCGAGTCTCCAACACCTTAGGAGTGAGCCAGCCATTTTTTTAAGTTGACTGGCGCCATGTACTGGGCGGTTCAGCAGACTGAAACTTTAACAGCTGCCTCACTTCTTGCGCCTACTAGAAAGGCTCGAATCCCTACTCTGCTCTACTTATACTGCCCCTTCATGCCAAAAACCGCCGGCGGCGCGCTTTTCACTTTTTCGGCAGGCGGAGCTGGCTATGTGGTCCGGTACCCCCGCGCCTCCGAAACTTCAGGAGTGAGCCATCCATTTCTGTCCATAACTCAAGTGTCTCCAGTATGAACTGGCCGTGGTGCGATGGTCTCTGATACCATGGAATCCTCACCTTAGCGGGCTTCATTCGTCTCCTCAGCTTAATCAAGTGCCTCCACTATGAGTTGGTTGTGGTGCGAGGGTTGCTGGTACCATCTCCCTCCCCTGCCCTGACAGCTCCTCCAGATCCCCACGATTTGGCCATGAGCCAGAATTGGGCGGCGAGGTATATTTTGACTCTCTCTTTATGCAGCGCAGAGCTTGATAATCCACTTCGTCTGAAGTGCCTTGATCTGCGTTTCTGGGTCGATGATTCCCAGACCTCCCTTACCCTTAGTCAGCACCACGTACTTCCATGCCACTTTGGATATGAAGGATGGCTCACGGACCAAGGCTACCCTTTCCCCGGCGGGGCTGAGTGGCACAAAGGAAGAGAACCGCCTCGATACCTGGACATACAGGTGGATGTCTGCAGCCCTTCACACTCGCAAGCACCCGCTATCATGGCCAGAATGTTAACCAAACTGACTCTTGGCCGGCCACTTACAGATCGGTCTTCGGTCGTGCGCTTGTGGTTAACCCATCTGTCTTCTCGATGCTATGGTACGCCGGAACCATCTGGATCCCTGAAGCAGCCTTGAAAACCAAGTGGCGGAGAAGGACAACCGCCTATCTGTGGAGCAGTAATTCTTCTAGAGAAGAGAGTTATTATTATTATTATTATTTTTTTTTAATTTTAAAGAAGAGAGGTTTTCATAGACTGTGATAGAAGGGAAAAATGGTTGAGGTTTTCTCAAACCATGATGATAGAAGGGAAGGTGGTTGAAATAGGGATGGCGATGGTTGCAGTCCTCCTCCCCTATCACACAGGTTGGAAGGGAAACTGTGAAGATGTGATGCTGAGGGAGAAGGCGAATGAGTGACAGAGAACTTGTTGCCTCAGCAGTTTCTTGCTCCATCTTCCCATGTCGGCAAGCATCCGTCCTTTGCTCTGTGCAGAGACTTCGCTGCCTGGTGCACAAGCACTAACTACTACCATCTTTCCCTGAACACTGCGCACTCATCTTTGCCGTCTGTGCCGGAGGACGGAAATTGCACGCATTCGAGTGCAGACTGTAGTGAATGTGACTCGTCATCATCAAGATGGGACCCGAAGAATAATGACCCGCGCTTTGCAAATAGGACTGGAAGAAGATTGCTTTGGACCTTGACCTTGCTCCACTACACAACATTCTACGGTTATCTGGAACTCCTCCTAACGATCCCAGTACATTCAGAATGATGGTTCAATCCGAATGTTGTTACGCTCCAGAGATACATGGTCAGCTCCGTAAAGGCACATAGCAAAGTGGGCTGCGATGGAGGACTAGCCGGCCTGCCACGATCTTGTCACCAATAATCACACCACAAGCGCAATTCCCTCCCTTCCCCCCTTTCCCTCTTCCCCCCTCCCTTTCCCACCTAACCTGCGTGTGCTCTTTGGTGCCGATACTGGGCTGCAAGCCTACCCAGCATGGCCGATTTAGTCTCGTAGGGGTCCGTTTCTCTGACAATTGCTCCCTTTTCCCTCGTTTTTGTTTTCGTTCTTTGCTTTGCTGTTTTGCTTGTTATCTTTGAAAGGGGGTAGCCCCTATCATTACTGTATTAGACCAACGGGATTTGAACTCGTGATTTGTTTGTCAACAGTTTTCATGTGTGTTAGTATTCATGTGTGTTCAGTTCAGCTACACTGGATGTACTTTTGGTGTTGAGCACAGGGAGTTTCAATTTCAATTGCATTTATCTTGTTGGGGATCACGTGCCTCCCCCTCCACAACGAACAACTACCCTGCTTCTCTGCCAGGATATACCCAGATATCCTCAAGGGCTCCCTTGGGTGTGAAAGCCATCACCTCTGGCATGATGGCTATGATGAGAGTGACATTCTCAGCCACGTGGAGCGAAACCTTTTATGCCCCACTTTTTTTTTTTTTTTTTTGGTCATTGCTGCCGACCCTGTGCACTGTGTCATCGTGCGCATGTCTGCTTGCCCTCAACGACACTATTGGGCATGAGGAAAAACAATCCACACTATTGGGCATGAGGAAAAACAATCCCTGCGATATTTGTCGGTCAGCCGCGTGGAGAGCTCAGGAGTTTGTCAGCCAATGCTTTGCCAAAAAGGATGAAATAAGAAAGGGGGTGGTTGGCCGGGGTGAAAAAAAGGAAAAACTTCCTGTCATGTTGTTGGTAACCCATGCGAAACATCAAGAATTTTCGAAATGCCCCTCTGCTGCCAAGCATGTTGGTGACCTGCTCTGTATCTGGCTAAAATTCTGGCAGAGGGGCGTTTAGAAAATTCTGGACCCGCCAAAGGTAGTTGTGGTTTGCGACAGCTGCTCTGTTCTGTTCTGTTGAGGAGGCAGCACAGTCCAAGAATGGGGGTGCATGGGGGGTGTAAATCTGCGATGACAGTGAGCGAAGTGAAAGTGTCGTCGGGATGACACTCTGACAGTTGAGTGGAGTGGCCTCTGTACCTGACCTGGTTCCAACTTCATGTTCTCGAGTTGCAGAGAACAATCCGAACTGAAGGCAATGTTTCTGGATCTTCTCCTCCTTAAAGCCTTGCTTCCTATTGTCAATGTCAATGCCTTCCATTCCACAATGGCTTGGTCGTTTGTGTCATCCACACTTACAGTGCTCTCGCCTGTGTGTGTGTGTGTGTGTGTGTGTGTGTGTGTGTGTGTGTGTGTG